CTTGCGGTTTTTAACAAGAAGTCGAAAATATCACTTTTTACCAAAAATGACAAAAATATTCATCAAAATTAGAGAATTGAAGATATCATCATGAAATGAACAAATCTAAGAGAGGTCTATCCAAGGTACATATACACCAAGTATCAAAGCATTCAGGCTTGTAGTTTTCAAGAAGAAGTCGAACAAGTAAAACATTGACACGGACGACGGACAACAGATGACGGACGCCGGACAATCACTCATATGATAAGCTCCACTCGACAAAGTCGACAGCGGAGCTAAAAATAGTGTCATGTTATTATTTATTTATAAAATCATTTAATTTCGGCATTTCGTTGACATATTGTGCAACGTTCTTTGTCATATTGAGCAATGTTCTTTGACATATTGTGCAATGTTCTTTGACATATTGAGCAATGTTCTTTGACATATTGAGCAATGTTCTTTGACATATTGAGCAATGTTCTTTGGCAATGAAAGCTATTTTAAATGAATTGACCAAGTTATTATCAATATTATTACATTATTTATTATGTCTGTTAATCCGTATTATTGAAAAGTTGAGTGCCAGAATTTGGTTTATACATTCAACCAATAAACATATGTGTTTCTAGCATAGACAAAAATTAAATGATACAGTGATTTAATTTGTTTAATTATTAATTACAACAATATCAAGATTCATATTTAAACAATGTATAAAATTTATGATTATAATTGTATAATTGTTTAATCTGCAATAAATATTTCCTGTAATTGTTCTGTATGGGGGCACACTGCATTAGAAGAGGGCAGGTGTCATGCCGATAAATGAGTGAATGAAAACAAATCATTAATTATTTCAGGCTTACTTAAAGTTTATTTTCAAAATAAATATAAATGCCGTTGTTATTTATTGCTTCACACTTGAGGGATACACTTTTGATCTGTGAATTGAATAACACAATTAACAAAATTTGATGATTGATTAAATAACTTACTTGCTCAGCTTGTAACCTCTGTTGTAATGTTTCAATATAATGTTGGACTGCCATGTATACAAATTTATACTGAGCTTCTGTCTGCACCATTCCTGATCTCTGTGATCTCACCATTTGTATGGTACGCTGAATGTCTATCTCACAGTCCAATCCTGTAATTATTAGCATTACACAAAACATATAAAAAATTTCAGTGTTAAAATGCAGATATTTTAGATAGGAATTGGTCATCATGAAATTTGTATAGCACATCAAGCATGGAAATATTACAAAATATTTTCGTTTGTGACGAATCCCACATGTTTGACTTTATGCATAAGGTGGGATCTCACAGTGAATACAAAATGGTTTATTGATATGAGCTAAAGTCAACTTTTGACACTGTTCACAAATTTAAACCCATCATTTTTATAAATTGTTTGAATATTTTTATGAAAACTTGTAACCAATCAAAAATGAGGTCAATTTGTTTCTAAAATTATGCAAAAATAAATAAAAGAAAAGGCAAAATTTTGGTAAGAAAAAAATGTTAAAATGACAAGCCTACAAAATTGGCTTCATCCTGATATTCACATAGCTATTCCATTGAGAACTATTTTGATTTAAGCCTCAGATTTGAATTATTAGCGAATTTTGAGATTTCAGATCACACGTTAATATTGTACTATTCATTTATATGAACAGATTATCTGGTTATATGTAAGGGATTTTTTTCAGACTAAATTATTACCTCCACTCAATGATAACCTAACTAACAATTTTTTGAGTGATTTCATTACATATTATTCCACGTGTTTATAAACACAAAATGCTCTCCCTATAAATGATAACTCAGCTACATCAGAGTGTGATCAGGCTCCATAGCAACAAGAGCCAAATGATTTTGCAAGACTTTTCCCAAACTTTCTTGCATTTTTTCCCAAGACATCTTGACCCTTAATTCAGGCCAAAACCATCACCAAAGCTCATCAAAGTTCTTAGGATATGGGAGTTCCCTGGAGAAAATGGGCCTTTGTAAAATGAATTAAGGTAGAGATGCAGGTTCGTGGGCACTTGGAAGGAAATTTTTTTTTTTTTTGCTTTTTATTATCCAAACGAATTTTGTAGAATTGTGAATAGTAGTACATACTCAAAAAACGATTTTTAAATTATAGATAACCGGTGCAAACATTATCTCTTTTGAATGCTTAGCAAGATTTAGCAAGGCTGTACATAAATAATAAAAAAGAAACATAGTGAAAAAAAGAAATGACGGGATCTCCATATTATGCACTATATTTAACTTTTAACAAAACGATAATACATTTAAATTTGAAATTGTAACAGCCATTTTAATTATGAGCATTAGCAAACTTCTTACTGAGTGAAATGTTATGCAAATTAGCAATTATCTCAGCTTCTTTTTAGAGCACATCCCAGAAATTTATAAAAAAAAATAGCTCCTAAAGGATTTGACCTTTTGTTTTGAAATGTTCACAACTGATTGG